TGGTCGCTCCTTCTACTTCCGTTACGTAGCACATCAACGCTAGCCTTCACTCACTTAGCCCATTCTTTGGACTCGCCCACGGTCTCCTTTCACACCGTGGTACGTCTTACATACAGAAGTTGCCGCGCGATGCCGGTGACTCTGACAGCGGGCGCCAGAAGGCGGGAAATACAACCACTCCATTTCGTCCGTCAACGTTGAAAAGCTTAACGCCTTAACCCAGCTAAGCTATCGCGCCTTTGATGTTCCCTGCGCCCAGGGCAGGGGATCCCGTATTCGTATCCTCCCGCCGCGTTGGAAGCAGTCGAACTACTAGCAGACGACGGACGTGGAAAACGCGTCCAGCTAGGATGCACGCGTTCCGGCCAACGGTCGCTCAGCATGTTCCATAACACGCGTCGTATACACGGGGAACGGGACAGCCTAGATGTTTCAACCGCTAACACAGCAATCATACGCGCTAACACTACAGTTGAGACGCCACATGAATGCGATCGAATATGTATGGGAAATGACGATTGCGATTTGCAAGCCTGCCTATAATGCAAAACCCTATCATATGCGGTGAGGCAACCGCTTTCGGAACGTCATCTCAAAATAGATCCCTTCCCCTCTGCCCATCACTTTACACGCTCCCTGAAGCTCATCTGCAAAGGGGCGACACGGCTCGCCGCATTATCAGCAAATCGATTTGACAGACGTCTCGCGATAGTCACTGCATTATTGAAACACGACTCTGCATCTCGTTACCTCTTATCGAATCACAAACTATGTGGCTTTAGCCTTCTGACATTTCGCTACCCATGTCTCATTTCAACCTCACTAACCGCTTCCGAGATCCTCGCTCGTGCTCCTGAGCGCCGCCCCGCCACGCGAGTCACTCTGCTCTTGTTCCTGACATGTGGCGCCACTGCGGCCCGGCAATGTGCGCGGCTGCCGAACAAGGGACTGGGTCGCCGCTGTCGATCTTCACATCACGAATTTCCGCAATAGAAATATCGAAATAGCAACGCGGTGATCATCGCCTTATGCTGAGCCCGACCTTATGGATGGTGGTCGCGATACGCGGCAGGCCCCTCCAAACCTTTGTCTCCCGCACACACCGCCTACCAACTTTACCAACTTCTGTCTGTCGGCTAAAGAGAGACCAATAGTCCCTGATGTTGACAAAATACCGATGATCTTCAACTCACCAATCGTCTCGTTTAGGGGCACCCGCGGCTCTGATCGCTTGCTCGGAACCTGTCGCAGCCGTGCTCTATGCTCCGCAACCATATTTTGACGTCTATCAAATCTTATTGATATGATATGCAAGTACGGACACGCCGTTGATGCTCGAACGGGAGTTGCAGAAGCGAGATGAGCTTTGGTAGCAGCCCTTGCCCGTGAGAGCGTTCAGCATATGGAACCCGCAGGCATCCCGCCAACTTTTCTCCGCTGACCTGCCGCACCAACAGCTGTGCTCATATCGGATATGAGTAATCTATGCGATACCCATAGTATAGCCAGACGTAGTATATACCAAGTGGAGAGCGAATCTTATGTCATGTTCTGGCAATGCATCGGCTCGTAGATCGGTACATGTTCCCCGTGAACATATAGGCTGGGGGCTTGCTTATAGCTGATATGCGGCTCGGGGCCCGCGATCTAGAGAAGAGAAGCTGTGTCCTGATCTACATTCGTAAAGGACAGTCTCTGTTGCAGCGACTCTATCATCTTCGCTATAAGATTGGCCGACTATCCTACAAGTTCTTCAAGAGGATTACATAAGTCTAGTAGGCACAACACGATATACCGAAGCCTTCAAGCTCATGATAGGATCATGCCGTTTCCGAAACCAAGCCATTGCTAGAATCTGTAGTCGCGTTTGCTGTATGGTGTTCTGGCTGGTCGGTTCCAAATGGAACATTGACACGCAACTCCACAGCTTTTCGACACTGCTCAGAGGAGGCTGAACGTCTGTCGCATACTGAAACCGCTTATAAATTCCCCGCCAGACCGGGAGAGCAAACAAATGTGTATCCAGCAGCCTTTCCCTACACAAGCACGTCTCAGCCTCGGTGACACCAGGAAAGAACACCTCAAGCAAACCCGCCTCCCGTCCCACGCGTTCGGTAACCCATCCACAAGCCATCTGTACTTTTCTCTACCAAAACGCGCATATACCCTTTTCAGACAACTGATCTACAGACCCTGAAGCGACGATGGTCGCTTACTGCGGCAGTGGCCGTGGTTGAGGAAGAAGCAAATGGGAAAAGCCCTCTTCTAGCTTCCACGCTCGAGCACCAATGAGCCTATAATTAGGAATACGCTGAGAGAGACAGAGCTTCGGACTCCGATGTCCTTTCCATTCTTCTTTAGCACGCGGCACTCTTCGGAAGCAGGGCATGTTGGGCCTGCTTTTGCGATTGCCCGAGCCGAGAAGATGTCGTGCTCAGCCAAAGCAATGCGGGTAGGAGAAAAAGGAACGAGGTACAGTGTCATGTTCGTGCTCTTTGTCTAGAGCGTCGGAACGATGAGATCACATTTGCGCAACAGAAGTCATTGTGGACAGAAGATTCGCATATCAATTTCTTTGGTTCCTCTCATAGCGAGATAATAACTCTTGAAGACTGAAATTCAGAACAGCCTTCACCAACTTAAGAACCACCTTGCGCCGTTGCTTACGTGTTCATTGCACCGAAGGTCAATCGTGACTTTTGTCCAAAAGAAAGAACCCTCTCCTGCACCTTTTCCGTCACTCCGTCCGGGCGGATTTTAGTTGTCCATGTAGGTGGACGAGTTGATACCATCCTCGGGGAACTCAGGAAGCTCGACCTGGAAGCGCTCCTCGATCGACTTGAGGACAGCCTCGTCGTCTGGGCTGCTCACAAACGAGATACTGAGACCCTTGGTTCCGAAACGACCGGCACGACCGACGCGGTGGAGGTAGGCATCGGCCTTGTCGGGCATGTCGTAGTTGATGGCCACGTTGATGCGCTCGACGTCGATACCACGACCGAAGATGTCGGTGGAGACACAGATACGGGTCTGGAACTCCTTGAACTCTTTGTAGCGCTTGATACTAGAAAAGAATTAGTCTTGAGCTAACAAGTGGGGTACATTTGAGTGCATACCGCTCTTCTTGGCTGATGCCAGAGTGGACAGCAGTGCTGGGGAAGTTGCACTCGCGGAGAAGCTTGTCGAGCTCAGAGCAGCGCAGAGTCGAGCGAACGAAGATGATGACCTGGTTGAACTCCAAGCTGTCGAGAAGGTCGTTAAGCTTCCGGTTCTTCTCCTTCTCGTCAAGCTTCATGTAGTACTGCTGGAGACCATGAAGCGTCAACTTCTTCTCGTCATCGACGTAGATCTCGAGCGGGTTCTGCATGAACTTCTTGCAGACAACGCGCACCTCCTTGTTGAGGGTGGCGGAGAACATCATCACCTGCTTGTGCTGGGGTGTAGCGCGGAAGATGGCTTGAACGTCGTTGCGCATGTCTGTCAACTGTCAGCGGAAGTTGGCCAAGACAGACGGTTTGTACTAACCGGGCTGGTCCAACATCTTGTCACACTCATCGAGGACGAAGTGCTTCAGGTTGGCAAGGCGGAGATGCCTATCGCGGACGAGGGCGTTGATACGACCGGGAGTACCGACGATGATGTGAGGGTGGGTATCCTTGTTGCTAAGGAGCTCGATGTCCTTCTGAACGGGAGTTCCTCCGTAGAAGACACCAACCTTGACGTCAGGCAAGAACTTGGCGAAGCGGTTGTACTCGTTGCGGATCTGGTAGGCCAACTCGCGAGTGTGGCACATGACCAGGATAGTGGCGGTACCGGGTTCGGGCTTCTCGTCCATCTGCTGGAGGGTTGCGAGAACGAAGACGGCAGTCTTTCCGAGACCGGACTTGGCCTGGCAGAGGACATCGTTTCCTAGGATGGCCTGTGGAATGGTAACTTGCTGGACTGTAGGGCACACGTTATGTCAGAATGGTCTTTAAAACGGTCGAAACGAAGCGTGGGAAGCGAAGCGTCCGTCCATCTTGTGTAGCCGAGGTTTTCCATCTAGCGCGCGTGCCAGTCTGTCTATCCTCCCCATACGCTCAATGGTGTACCTCCTCCTATACACCCGCAACATGCACTCCTCCTCTGAAACCAGTCCTTCGGGACCACGGTAGTGAGCCAATAGGCACCACTGGCTTCTCGATGCATATACCGGTGCGCCTGCGAAATGCAGTGCGCGTCGACGCTCGTGGGTAGCGGAAGGCACTCGGTCCCTCGCCACTTTGCTCGAATATAGACAGACCAGGCCGCATTACAGATAGTGCTCGTTTCGTAGATGGACAGACGCTTGTAGGTGGATAAGGCTGAGGGGAATTATTAGACTAACCCTCGGAAGGATGTTCGAAGCCACAGTCCGTGATTGCTCGTACGAGCTCGTCCTTGAGCAAGAAGTCGCGGAAACCGGTCGAGTGGATGCCGACGTAGCTGCCCTTCTTGTCGCCTGCAGCATCACCGGCGGTGACGCCGCCCTTGCTTGCAGCTGCGCTGCCGTTGGCGGGCGCATCAGTCGTCTGGATCTCCTCGTCGGAGTAGTCGATGAGATCTTCCTCGTGAGACATGATGGATTATGTGTCCGTGTAAGAGTGTGTGTGGTGTGTAGAGTCGGTGATTGCGCGTGTCGCAAGTAAGGCTGCCAAACAAAGTGGAGTCGCGACGGTACCGAGGCGGAGTATTATACTAAGAGCTACGAGTAGAAGAGATCAGTTGTTTCGCGATTTCACGGTAACGCGAATTCGACGAGGTTGCTGTGGCTTGAGAGGTTCGTGGTGGGCGATGGACAAGAGCGGTCGCCGCGCTGATGTCGAGGTAAAAAGCTCGGGGCGCCTTGCTGGGCGCGCGCTAGGCTGCAAGCGGACTGCTCTGAATCACGACCCACCACTGCCAAATCCTCTGGTCTTCTATTATCCATCTGTGAAACCGTCATTTACATACAAGACCAGACGACAACAGAACACAGCATCATGAGCAAGGTCAAAGCACCAAAGACGAAGGGCATACCGAACAAGCATCTGCACGCTCGCTCGACTTTTCTCTACCAAGCAGCTACATATCTAACGCTGCAAACGGCTACGCAAGAGGACGTCGCAGCTGATGTCGCGCGAGACAAAGACGGCGGCTCGATCGAGGCCCAGCGACATTCACCGCTCGCACTCGAACTCGGATCCGATCTTCAACAGGTATCACGGAAAGGCCAGCTACGGCTAGCTGTCGACTTGAAGCGCTCCATGTGCAAAAGTTGCAATACAGTGCTTGTTCCTGGACGCACTCTTACTCAAAATGTTGAAAACCCCAGCAAAGGCGGTAAGAAGCCTTGGGCAGATGTACTTGTCGTTACTTGTCTCATTTGTGGCGGCAAGAAGAGGTTTCCAGTGGGCGCAACGAAACAACTCAAGAAGGCCAAGAGGATGACAACCCATACAAGTACGTTATCAAAAACTGCTTCTGAAGATGGCCAATGCTCAGAAACTACCTTTGCGACGGGCACTGACTGACCTGACGTCACGATGTGATTCATTTCGCTCATTTGCTACGTGCCACGCCGGAATCGCTCAATCGAGGAACCCATGAAGGCCTCGGGAGCTCTCGAATCGATTCACCAGGGGGAATCCGAAAGCTGCTATGGCTCAGACTGCTCAGATCAAAGTGAAATACACAGGAGCATTTGCCGCCTCCCAACTATGCTCGCTCCACGCACGTCCAGTTACGCCACGAGGGGATCTAAAGTTTCGCCTGGACGACTTCTCCAGTCTAAAAGCCGAGCGAAAACATCGCATGAGAACAACTTGATCTTCACCAACCGTTCTCCTCAACGTAAACGATCATGGATAGTCAAGCTCCCAAGGAAAGCATCTCGCCTCTCCAGTCTCTGCCACAAGAGATCCTGTCAAGCGTCTGCAGTTACCTACCGCAAGGGGCTCTCTACCAACTAACCCTCGTCAACAAAAATATCGGTCAGCGCGTAGTACCAGCCCTGTACGGTTCCTTCAGCCAAAATGGAGGCGACAGCATGCAAGTTCGACAGTACTTCAGAACCGCGGTGCGGGAGCCTGAGTTAGCTGAGCATCTTCGCGAGATTACTATCCAGGGTTCCATCAGGATAACCCACAAGCAAGTGCGGAAATGCCTCCGGAAATTGGACAAGAAGAGCTGGGTTCATCGACTTCACGAACAACACCCTCATCTTGCTTACGATTATTTTTCGTATGGACCGGACTTGGCCATTGCTCTGTTACTGAGCTTGGAACCCAAGATACACTCTATTCGTGCTCTGCATCCTCCGAACCCCATAAAGAAAGGGAACTCATTTAAACTCCCTATCTATCTCGAACCCATTCGAGGCATTCTAGCAGCAGGCTCTCCACTGCCGCAATGGACCAATGATTTATCCACGTTAGAGATCACCCTTCGGACCACATCATGGCAGTGTATTGCCCCGCTGTTCCAGCTACCGGTACTCAAGACGCTGATTCTGAGTGGTGGAGGTGGATTCCACATGGCTACTACAAATATGGAAGCTGCGATTCATTCGTCACCGATCGAAGTACTTGACTTTGAAAGGTGCGCGGTCCCATTGACGACCATTGCACAAGCTGTATCTGCTTGCAAGTCATTGCGTGTCCTACGACATAGCGACTGCGACCATTGGGCAGCACCTCATCATTCGCATTTATTCCAGCAGTTACATGAGCATGCGAGCACTCTGCGCACCCTCAAAACGTGCTGCTGGCACGCCCCCAAGAGCACTTCGACTGACAATGGGATCTTGACCAGCTTCATTGCTCTGATCGAGCTCGAAGTGCACTACTCTCATGCCGCGGATGACCTCCTGCCACCCAACCTGTGTCGGCTCGTCATATGCGCAACTACCCGCGACCGAGTATGCATCATGGAAGACATGGAAACACTAGCGCAAAAGCTCAGCAAGCGATCAAACATCGACGTAATACTGAAGTATCGGCACTACAGGAAGCCAAACTACGAGCTTCCAAAACTACGCGAACTGCCATCCGTGTTCGCCAAGTCTGATCTTAACCTGTCGCTTTACGTGTATCCTGTTGTCGGCTCATCATGTAAGTTGCCCGTAGTAACGTCCCTTTAGAACGAGCTAACAGTCAGAATAGGGTACTTGATCGCCAAGTTCGATCACCGCGCTGCATGGTTGTCGCAGAGACCTAGCGAAACAGGCGCAAAAGAGTTGAGAGCTTGGTCGAAGCGATTAGATTCGACGTACGATTACCGGGAGATTGTGCTCGCGGAGATCAAAAATATGGTCGGAAAGCACGAGAACCATTGGAAGAGCAAGGACTACGATCTCGACTTCATGCTACCGTATCTGTTTAGAAATCTGTACAAGGTCTGAGGAGAGTAGTCAGTTGACACGAAGATGCGAGAGGAAGGATGGATCTGTCACGAATGGGAAGGTGGATTGGAAGAGTAACGAACGGTAGCTCTTTCTCCAAAATGGACCTCGCTTTAAACACATCACTGGCGCTATCTCCACGGTCATCGTTCTGGTTACCTCCACCACCTGCTACTCACCAATTGTTCCTAACCGCTCGTGAAATTTTTAATACCGACTCACAAAACCCCCATCGTCTTGACCTACCAACCTTCCACCCCCAAACCCAGATCTTCTACATCTCGACCACAGTACTCTCTCATACCGAAGGCCATGGCATCCAACAACTCCTGTAACGGCGACGACGTCAACCCCCCAGCTTACTCCAGACTTCACGAAAGCGCCCGCAAGAACAGCAAAACGAGGAAAGCAATCGAAATCTGCTTCGTCATTCCCGTCTTAGCCATCGTAATTCCACCCTTGATTGTGATCACTGCGGGACATATAGTCGTAGGTGAGTAAACTACCACACTATAATTTATATCACGACCTTCTTGCTAATATAGTGCCCAGGATCGCTTATAGAAGTTGGGTGGGAAGTCAAAGACTGGAAGTATACGCCAAGGGAGCGAATGGCTCGAAGAACGATAAGAAGAAATCTTCGGGAAACGTTGAGATGAACCTGGCACTTAAGTGAGCAGGGGAGAGATGGTGGACTGGTTGTAGTCTTGATTCGGCATCCTCTGGTCATGCTATGTCTCATTAGTGTCCCTCGATACGGCGATACATCCCTTTGACGAAACGAGCCCTAGGATCAGAATGGAGATCAACATCGATATTGCTTTGTAACTACGCTGCAATCAAGACGCTTGACTGTGCAATTAACTTCTCTTCTACAATCATCGTAAGAGCCTTGTGCGGTGTACTCCATTCGGTTCACTTTCACCGCTCACCACTCACATCTAACTCGCCGCAGCTTCTTCAAAAGCCACCAACGAGCCATAGATCTCATCACCTTAGCGACCTCCCATTTGAAAATCCAAAGCTTCGCATCCTACCTACAATACTCTTGAAAATACGAAGATGAACTCTGGTCCTCTACCCCCGGAAGCGTTCTGCCAACTCCTACCAGCGGCACTGATGGCGGGGGCTTGGGCACTTACGCCCATCTTCATTGTTGCTCCACTTGCAGCTGCCCCAGTTCTCGCTCTCGCACTATCCTATGGTGGTAAACTCAACCCTTCCATTTGCTTCTATGAATTCGGGGTCTAATAGTTTGAAGTTCCAATCACTACCTCTGTGGTAGCCATGACGGCGATGTGTGAAGAAGTCGTTCGAGCGGCAAAGGAAAACTCCAACCAATACGAAGGACAGAAATGGCATCACTGGCAAGGATATCCCGTCGGAACTATCGTTTGCACTGTTGATGGTGAATGTGTGGAGATCAAAATACGGGAGTAAGAAGCTGATCTCACAGCCATTGTGGCATGGTGACCAGTACCCTGTGTCAATTACGACAAGCAAAGCTCTGAACGAATCGCCAGACTTGCACACAGGCACGAAGAGGAAGAATGTGTACAAAATTTCGATGGGAAAACGAGGCGATCGAGTTATATGTATACATATCATCTACACATTTGGTGTACTGCATGTGTGTTCCATCTTCTACACCCCCAACACACCCCTCAACCCCCTAACCTTCCCCCTCAAATCCCCATACCCCAACCAAACAATCCCCTCCGCCATCTTCCACGCCTTCTCTCCCGCCCCCTCCCCTTTCAACGGGATATCCATAGGCGGCGGAATCGCCGTCTTAATCCCCGCCCAAGCCCATCGATCCCTCGTAATACTCTTCTGATTGCACAGACTCCTCAGTCCCTCTTTACCCGCAAAGCGGCCATATCCACTGCCCTTTGTACCACCAAACGGCATCTGAACCATGTAGTAGACTGCAAAGTCGTTGACGGCAACCATGCCGGCCTGTAGGGAGCGGACGACGAGTTCGAGGTCGCGGGGCGAGGTGCCGAAGACGGAAGAGCCGAGAGCGTAGGTGGTGCTGTTGGCGATCGTGATGGCGTCTGTGACGGATTCGGCGCGCATGAGGAGGAAGACGGGGGCGAAGAGTTCGGTTTGCGCGATCTTCATGGCTGGGGTTACGTCGGCGATAAAGGTAGGTGTGAAGTAGTGGCCTTGGGGGTGATCGGGGTGGGTGTAGCGTTTTCCACCTGCTAGTAGGCGGGCGCCGTTGTTGACGGCATCTTGGATGAGCTCTTCGAGCTTCGTGTAACTCGCGTCGGAAATCGATGCGCCTATGTCGATGGGCGTGTCTGAGGTGTTGTTGAGAATGGAGCCTGGACGGAGTGCCTGGATCTTGGGTGTGAGGTACTCGATGAAGCGGTCGTAGACTTTGGGTAGGGCGATTACGCGCTCGATGCCGATGCAGTTCTGGCCTGCAGACTGGAATGTGCCCCTCATGAGGATACTGGCAACGCGCTTGAAGTCGCTGTTGGATAGGTCATCCAGTACTATCGCTGGGTCTTTGCCGCCCAATTCCACGCACACTGGTGTCAACGCCTTCGCCGCCGATGCGCAGACATGGTGGGCTACCGGTCGTGATCCAATAAAGGTTATGTGTGATATCGACGGGTGCGAAGTAAGGTGATCGGCGACGTCAGGCCAGCAGACGACAGACTGGACGATATCGGGCGAGTGACCGCATGCTTCGAGGGCGCGAGTAGCAATCGAAGCGAAGTATGACGAGGACCAGGCAGTCGCTTCCGAGCCTTTGACGATGATGGCATTACCGGCGAAGATGGAGGCTATGACGGGGCTTATGAGATTGTGGAAGGGGTAGCTGTAGGATTGTTAGCCGTCATGATCAGATGCAGTGATGCTCGACACATACTTCCAGCTCACGCAAGCCGCAACGACGCCCAGCGGCTCATAAACAACCTCGTTCCACTTATACATCATGAGGAAGTTTGTGTCTCTCTTCTCAGACTTCAAGCTCTTTTCGCCGTGTTTGATCGTCCACCTCAGCTTCTCCACCGTCACCAGGATCTCGCCCAGGCTCGCGTCCACCATGGTCTTGCCGGAGTCTAAACATGCGACCCGCGCAATCTCTTCTTGGTTCTCCAGGATGAATTTGAGCATAGTGCGCAGCACCTTTCGTCGCCTGAGGAAGCTTGTCTGAGCCCATTGTACCTGGGCTGCCTTGGCTTTGGCGATTGCGCGGTCGATGCCGTCGGCTGTGGAGGGGTTGATGCGCCCGAGGGCTTCACCAGTCGCGGGAGCGTAGCATTGGATCAGGGAAGAGCCCGGTACCTGCTGAAGTCAGTTACCGAAACCGAAACCTGGGGAGTACATGTGTACCTTCAACTGCGGCTTCTCAAGCACCTGGCCCTTCCATCCTTTGCGTGCCTGCTCAGGTGTGTCGACTTCATACTTGACAGGCTCCTCTGGATCAGCACGACCAGTAATCCAGATAAAAGAGAGCGCAGCTATCCAGAGTGCGCCATACAAGGCGACATTGAAGTCGTTGTCAGCGCGTGCGGTAATGCGGTCCATGTTGCCGATGACGGTCTGACCAGATGTCGCGTGGTCCAAGAAAGTCCGATCCTGGCCGCCTGGACCCTGAAACGCCATCCCAACGCGGATGCGCTAAGACGCGTGGTCATCTGAAACTACTGCAGGCGTCGAGGGCATACTTGACCGAACGAATCACTCAGTCACCACGATTCCAATTCCCATACTCATGCTCGGTCAGACATTCCCGAGCGAATTGCGTAGAGCTTCCTACTTACGCTGTCAGGCAATTTGAAAGAAGTGTTGATTGCAGTGGAAGACGTCCCGTAGCCACTCAGCGCGCTCTTCTGTGCACTGCCATCGATGAGCCTATGTGACAGCTGCATAGGTCACTTCCTTGACTTCATTAGTTCCAAAGGCTCTTCTGTTGTGGTGGCATCCGCAATAATAAGCAATTCGCGCTAAGGTATAACACGGTCAGCAACAAGAGCAGGTGTTCCACTGATGGTATTGTTCATCATAAGATTTGATCTCATATATCATACATCCTTCATAGCCACGGTTCCCTGTCCGTGGCCTTGGTGTTCTTCTGATCCTCCAACAACTTAACCCTTCGAACCCGCACTTACTTTGCGTTGTTCTTGGGCGCCTCGGTAGGTGGTCCGTCAGGCGTGGTGTAACACCTGGTCATGCCACCATCGATGACAAAATCGGTGCCGTTGACGAAGCTGCTCTCATCGCTGGCAAGGAAGAGAACACCCTGCGCCTGCTCGATGGCCTCACCGAAGCGACCAGTGGGGAAGTGGACTTCGCGACGGTGACGCTTAGCCTGGTCGTCACCAAGCCAATCTTGCAGAAGTGGTGTGCTGTTGCTGTTAGTATATCATAAGTAGTATACTGGTTGGGAGGGAACCTACTTCAACGGAGCTGGGCATAGCGCGTTGAACCTGAAGCCCTCACGTGCGTGAACCATGGCCAACTCCCGTGTCATAGCCAGTACGGCACCCTTGCTGGCGGTATATGCGAGCTGAGGTGTTGCGCTACCGACCAATGCGACAACGCTGGCGGTGTTGATGACACTGGTCTTCTTCTTGCCGTTCTTCCTGAAGCTGTTGACTGCGTGCTTGCAGCCGAACCATACACCCTTGACGTTGATGGCTTGTGTCAGATCCCAGATCTTCTCGGGTGTGTTGACAGCGTCATCGTCGTCTGAGTGCATAATGCCTGCGTTGTTGAATAGTACATCCAGACCGCCCCATGAGTCCACGTGCTCAACCATAGCCTGCACATCGGCCTCCTTGGAAACATCGGTAATCTTAGTCTCGACCTTCTTAGCCTCTGGGACTATCTCTTTCAGCTTGGCCGAAGCCTTCTCCAGAGCTGGACCAGAAATGTCGGAAAGAAGGACATTGGCGCCTTCCCGAGCAAAGAGGATGGCAGTCTCGAGACCGATACCGCTAGAGGTTGTCAGTAAGTAGTTGCGGTATGCGGTATGATTCCGTGTGTGCTGCTCCGGGCGTTGAAAAATGAATACATCGGCGTTGAAGCCCGTAACGAAACATAGTCAACAAAGGAGATGACTGTAAATGAAAAGCTGGTAGCAAATGAGTCGTGGTACGTGCGGGATCGGTGCTTACCCAGCGCCTCCAGTGATGATGCAGTTCTTGCCTTCAAGACGACCCATGTTGAATGTTTGGTCTGATTATTGTGCTGATAGAAGTGTAGTGAAGGTGCTGTAATGCGGTCAATGGATATGAAGGGTGAGGCAAAGTTTTGTGGAAGCTGTGAGATATGACTAATATTTTGCTAGAGGAAGCGTCATGAGAACAACACGCGGGCCTGTGAATGGGGAAGGTTTGCCAAAGGCGCAAACAGTACCAGTCTCCACACTCACCTGTGAATCGGACTTTGCAGTGCGGGCTGGCGTATGAGGAGCGTCGTCGGAATGGAGAGTGCGAGGAGATGGAGATGACGAACGGGTAGTCTCGGACAGCTCACAAGTCATTCAAACATCAAGGGTCCCGAAATCGGCCCATTGCATTGATAGACTACGATAAGGGCGGGCTATCGCGTTGGCGGCTGTCATCTTTGGGCACACGACGAAGGAGCGGTGGGCGAAGGCACGATAGCAGCCTCGAATTAACAACTGTCCTACGCGGCATGGATGCGCCAAACGCCGTTAGACGTCAGGGCTGATGAAGTATGGCTACTACCCCGCCATGATGGATGACGTGCGTGTTCGCCCGTCTCTTGTATGCCGGCGCATCATCACGTTGTCGCATAGGGATTCATGTTGTCGCTTTGGGAGGGTGTCGAGGTGTCGCGTAGGAGAGAGATAGCACACATACGCGTGACTATGCAAGATATAGCCTGTACGCGCATGCAAGGCCAGGCTATGATGTCGTTGGATGCATCGCAGCCCGCATCCCGATAACCCCTCATTGGCCCACCCCAGCTGTCCCGCCTATCGCATCCCAAACGCCTTGGGCCCTTAAGCTCTCTTTCCGCGCAAACCTGATTGCGACGCGATATCTCTTACCAACGACACGACGCTCCTTTCACTCCTAAGCTTCAACAGCTACATCGCTCCAGCCCCCTACATCCTCACCATGGCCGCCGAATTCGATGCCTCCAAGCTGACGGCCGAGCAACTGCCCGAACTCCTCAAAAATGACCTCGCAGTCAAGGTCGCGGGCATCGATGTCGACGGCGTCCTGCGCGGAAAGCTCATGGCCAAGAAAAAGTTCCTCAGCATAGCCAACGAGGGCTTCGGCTTCTGCAGCGTCATCTTCGGATGGGACATGCACGACCAGACATACTTCAAGGAGTTAGCCATCTCCAACAAGGAGAACGGATACCGCGACCTGCTCGCCATACCCGACCTGACCTCCTTCCGGAGGATACCGTGGGAGGACAATGTGCCCTTCTTCCTCATCAGTTTCCACGACCCGGACACCAAGTCCACCCTCAGCGCATGCCCAAGAAGTCTGTTGAAGCGCGCCGTCGACAAGCTGAAGGAGAATGGATATGGCGCTATGGCTGGTGGTGAGTCCAACGCCAGTTGAAGAGCGGGTGCTGCGCGTCGTCAATGAAGCTGATGTGTTACTGTGTAGCCGAGTACGAGTTCTACCAATTCCGCGCGCCCCAGAGTCACGATGGCTCAGAGAGGAACACGTCGAGTACCGCTGCCTTCTTGCGCGACAACCCCGTCAACTCGCTTCCAAGTCTTACCGAAGGCATGTTCGGATACAGCATCACGCGGCCCGTTCACAACCAAGAGTACTACTACGGCATCTTCAACACATGCGCCCAGTTTGGCTGCGGAATCGAAGGATGGCATACAGAGTCCGGCCCGGGTGTCTTTGAAGCGGTGGGTATATCAACTCGTGGGCACGGGCAAAGCAGACTGACACAGCATAGGCTCTCGAATTTGGCGAGATCCAGCAAATGGCGGACAAAGCGTCGCTCTTTAAACTTGTCGTCAAGTCGCTCGGATCCAAGTACGGCATAACACCGTGCTTCATGGCAAAGCCGCGCGAGGGCCTCCCAGGAAACAGCGGTCACATGCACGTTTCCATCGTGGACAAAGAAAACAAGAACCTCTTCTACCGAGGCGAAGAGGACAAGAACGCGCCATACTCAGATATCGCGTACCTTTCGGACCTTGGTCGGCATTTCCTCGCGGGTTTGATCGACGGTCTCCCCGACATCATGCCTATTCTCGCACCCAATGTCAACAGCTACAAGCGCCTAGTAGAGAATTTCTGGGCACCCGTTACTGTATCGTGGGGTCTCGAACATCGCGCCGCGTCCATCCGTCTCATTTCTCCTCCCACCTCTTCTGGTAAGGCAACCCGCTTTGAAGTCCGTGTCCCAGGCGCAGATACAAACCCGCACTTCGTTCTCGCTGCCATCCTAGCTCTCGGCTGGCGAGGTATCGAGAAGAAGATGGAGATTAGCATACCACCCCTAGGCAAAGGCGAAGACGTTGGCGGAGAAGCAGACAAGGGCGAGCGCCTAGCCAAGAGCCTGAAGGAGGCCACAGAGCGGTTCATGAGGAAAGAAAGTGTCGCGAGAGAGGTATTCGGCGATCAGTTTGTGGACCACTTTGGCGGCACCAGGCAACATGAGATTAGGCTGTGGGATGAAGCCGTGACTGACTGGGAAGTGAGAAGGTATATCGAGACGGTATAAGTTCTTGTTCATAAGATAGGTAAGATTGAGGAAAGAGATGGAACATTTCACAACGTAACCTACTGTTGATTCTACGATACCACATTCCTATCCGCGATACGCGTCGTTCTGCCTCAATATACCTTTTCCAAGAGTCAAATACCAGTTCCAAGGCTCGTATGTGAGTAGCCTCGGAAGTATTAACGCCCAGAGGAATACATCCGGGAAATTTTCCCGGTGCGTCATTAGCGGCAACGAGAGGTCGCACTACACATGCAACTACGTGATCCTACCAAGCACTCCAAGCTTCACTAGAACACACGAGGCTACCTTTCGGCGGGCACTGCGCCGAATACCTGAAGTCTGGGGTAGATCGCCGCTCACGATGCGGAGGTATTTCATTGCGGGTGCAATTATCCGGCTCAGACGTGCAGGAATCTTGGAAGGTATTTAAGTCGACGACAACATGAATGCAGTCTTGTCCTTGGATTCGTCTGTGTTGTCTATAGAGCAAGATGAAGGCAATCAGCTTCGTTGTAGCATGTCTCGCCACGCATGCAAGTGCTGCAGTAACAAAACGTAGCAACTCAATGCTTTCTCCGAGTACGTCGATCATGCTTTTGACTCCACATTTCATGTCTTCTAATAGTATAAACCAGACGCACAAGATCTTTTCGACTGGTCTATGCACATTCAAGACAACCGCTATGACGCCTCTTACAACTTCATCCAGTACTCCGACAAGGGACCATGGTCTGTTCGCTTCACAGCATGGTACGTAGCCGGATTATTGCACAGAAACCAGGGAGACGATGTGAAGCATGCAGAAGCCTCTATTAAAAATATGTAGGTATCATTCGAACATAGGAGAGTCGAACGAAAAGAAGCGGGCGACTGACGATGAAAACAGACTGGCCTGCCAAATGACAGATGATTTCGACGTTCCATGGTACGGAACATACAAGCTGTCCCCTGATGAACCAGATCCAACGCTCGTTTCAGGTCTATACGTACCGAAAATATACGTACGTTGACCAGCATCTACCATCACTCCCTCCAACCCCCATGCTAACATAAACCACCCCAAAAAGACAACCTACGACCCCAACTGGCGCGACTTCATCGGCACACAACTAATCCAGATCCTCTCCGAATTCTCCTCCCTCCTTCCCCCTTCGCTCATAACCTCCATCGAAGACTCGCTCGAAGTCGCCGCCGTGGGAAGCATGCGCCGCAACGGCACCTACCCCACAATCGACGACAACCTAACAATCGGCTACACGAATCCAGCTATAATGCGCGCTCTCCTGTGCGAATACATCGGCACCCGTCGATCCAACTCCACTTTCACGTCTTTCGCGGAAGACCAAGGGAAGAAGATATTACAATTATTCGAACGAGAAGGCGCGGAGACGGTTAGCGAGTATAACGCGCCGACGTACTACGGCATCGATGTCTGGGCCATGGGTGCGCAGATCAAGTACGGTGTTGGTAACTCTAGCATGACGAAGGCTGCAAAGTATATCCTGCCGCGGATGATGGGCGATTTGGCGGATCATTATAATGGGTATTTGGGGAATGTGGTGGGGCCGTATGATAGGGCGTATACGAGGGATATCACGCAGCATTCGTCTGTTCTCTCCTTGGTACTGTGGGGTCTTTGGGGCAGGGAGCGGACGAGCCAGCCGAAGAAGATGGAGGGGGATTTACTATTTGATGTTGCTCAGGGAGCGGCTATGACGCTTGTCCTTGGAGATGTGGAGACGCTTTTACCAGCGCATGTGGAAAAGGCGTTTACGACAAGAGACTTCATTGGAGAGCCAAGGTGGCTGAACCGAACGGTTTGGGATGAGCTCGAGGGAGGTGAGCCGAGGATCGCGTCGAGTTGGTTGAGCAAAGAGTTGATGATTGGCGGACAACAGGTGGATGAGGATGTGAACAGAGGGGATCAGTTCGTTCCTGCTATTGTTCATTGGGCGGGGGATAAAGAGCATAAGCCTTATCCGCTCAACACCTTCTTCGCCCTTTACCCGTCTGCGTCGTCGATCCACGCTGTCGCTTCGCCGAATCATCTCTCCGTCAGCTATCCTAACCGGACGCAAGAAGGAAGCGATATCTTCACGTTTGCGCTGTCGAATGTGCCGCCGAGTTGGACGCTGGGTACTGGGCGACGCATAACGGGGTTCGAGGATTTGCCGTGTGTGGAGATTGAGGTTCAGGCGGAGGGCTTGGTGAAGCAGAATGTGACGTATGGAACGGCGCTGAGGAACCATCTGTTTTACAACATTTCGTATGTGGTTCCGGAGGATTTTGAGGGTGTGCCGAGGGTGGAGTTGGATATCAAGTATACATGCTAGCTAGCTGGCGAGGTATGACACCTTGGCTACCCTTTTGGAAGGCCCGTATCTCCGGCACTCAGCTTGTCGTGGCTTGCTAGCAAGTGACCCTTTTCGCTGTTCAAGATCAGCCCTTGAATGCTTGTCGCGATGTCGTGGGTTTATGGCTCAGGCATCAGACGTCTTCCATCGCATCCTTCTCATGCTGCCCAAAGAGCTCTTCGACCAACCCAACGAACTCGGCCATGGCGTCTTTCTCTCCCTCTTTCCCCTCTCCTTCTCTTATACCCTTCAACTCCTCCATTGCGTCCTTGTCTCCCTTCTTCTGGGTCCAATACTCTTCCTTCTTCTCCTGCCCTCCATTAAAACCTCCACGTCCACCTCTCCAGGCACCTCGGCCCCTTCCCCTCATGCCTCGTCCTCGGGAAGCGTTCCGTTCGAGCATGCGCCGCCGACTCTCAGCTTCGGGGTCTGGCTTTATCGTCTTGGCGTATACGCGTTGGAGTGACGGGAGTAGTGTTGGGTGTGTTTTGAGTAGCGCTTGGAATTTCGGATTCGTTGCTAAGACGGAGAAGTCGGTGCGTTGCTTTAGGTAGCGCGGTACTGGGGCGGGAGGAGGTGGTTGTGGGAGGGCTGGTTCTGCTGGCTTTGGCGCGACTGACGTGATATCGGGATGTGTTGTCTTGTGCGATTTGAAGCAAGATAATGAGCAGCTGTATGCGATCAATATTGTAGATCCAAGAGATCACAGATGGCAACGAACTAGGGAAGCGCGCAAGTCGGGCACTTGTATTTCTTAGGCTCTGCATTGCAGACGCCGCAGAGGACTTCCGACATTGTGCTGTTTGTTGGCAGAGATTGCGACTTCAACTTTAGAAAAGAAGAGCCGAATGTGTGTCGTATGAATGGTGGTGCTGTAAGTGTCGAAGATGACGTCCGCAATCACTCGCGACTTTTGCGCTCCAAGACGCGTTCCCAATCGGGCTAAATCCCGCGGCGAACTTCCATTGCTCATCACTCCGCCGAGGTTTCCTCCATTGGCTCGTTGACTCTTACAACACAACAATACAACATGTCTGCCGCATCGCCATTGCGACAATTTTCCTCACGGTCGCTGGGATCCTGGACTTGCCTGTCATGCTCTCGCTCGCTCAATAGGATACCGCGCGCCCGCAATCCCGCCTTGACCGCACGAAGATGGATGAACAGCACAAATCCCGCGCGGCAGCATGGCACCGTGCCAAGAATGGACCAGATGCATGCGCAATATAAGATGAAGAACCGCACAGTCATGTATGTGCAAGGATGTGTTGGCAGAAAGCGCAATTGCTGACCATAGTATAGGAACTATGTCTTCAGTGTGATAATAGGCTTCACAGCGCTCAGTTATGGCTCAGTACCGTTTTACAAGATGGTATGGTCATAGATCATCACCTTGTCGACAAGAACCCAATCTAACGTATTCTATAGATCTGCCAGGAGACCGGTTGGGGAGGCCAGCCCATAAAGTCAGCGGCCCACGGCGGCGATACTTCCGTCGACCCCTCCGAGCGCCTAAAGCCTGTCGAACACCACCCACGTATCCGAATCACATTCAATGGCTCCGTATCCGACGTCCTACCGTGGAAGTTCGTTCCTCAACAGCGCGAAGTCCGAGTCCTCCCCGGCGAGACCGCTCTCGCTTTCTACACCGCGACCAACAAATCGTCAGAAGATATCATTGGCGTAGCTACATATTCTGTCACACCAGGACAGGTCGCCCCATACTTCAGCAAGATCCAATGTTTTTGCTTCGAAGAGCAGAGACTAAATGCTGGGGAAACGGTGGACATGCCCGTCTTCTTCTACATCGATCCCGAATTCACAAAGGATATTAACATGAAGGGTATCGAGACTGTCACACTGAGCTACACGTTCTTCAAGGCGAAGTACGACAAAGACGGACATTTGACGCCTGTTCCTATGTGAGGAGGGATCGGGGTATGTACGATATGTGTACACAACACGTGCGGGAAAAGAATCCACAATGTAAGGCTGATGTAGGAATGCTATTCACTGAGCACCACAACCCTTTACCTAAGTCATTTTCAAGCCAATTTGGGTTCGATTACAATGATAACTTGTGCCGTTCACTACACTACCGTTGTGAAGTAGCATCGATCTATACAGTGCGCCACCAACTTCATAAGTATCTGGCCAGTTTGGACGGTCAATCAATTTTACACAGAGCAGGCCTCTCCACCCTCAACTTCAGACTGCACAGTAAACCCTTTTCTAGGAGCTACTCGCTTACACATCCCTCATGGATAGACATGCAGAAGAGAAAGAGCTTCGGGAAAGCTATTACATCCACTGCCGCAACAGGGGCTACACCATCGACGAAGCCTCTGAGCGCAGCCTCAAATACGTCGAGCGTGTCCTCAACGCGGATTCAATCATCTCGAAAAGATACCTAGAGGAGCTATATCAAGCGAGTATAGCGCACCATAGGTACTCATCGTCTCCACTCTCGTATGATGATGACCCGCCGATGCATAGCTCACGGAGAGCCAGAGATAGCGGTGGATACGATGCTTTTAGTGGGATCTCCGGTATGATGTGGACTCTTTTAGACGACAATGACAGCATATTTGCAGAGATGCGAACGCAAGCTGAACAAGACTGGAGCATACCAAGTGTACCTGAATATCGCGCTCCTCAGTACATCCCACCCCATTACGCCTATCAAGGCAATGGTCGGGAGCCACAATGGCAACGCGCAGGGGATCAGAGTACACCGAACTATCGCCGTCCAGATTACATCCCTTCTGCCTACGACTATCAGAGCAATGCTCAGCGATCGCGAGAAAACCCCGATAGATATACTGCTAGAGATTCTGGCCCGCAGCGTGCTTTCTCTTATGGTCCACAGCGTGCATCCTCTTATGGCCCGCAGCGTTCATTCTCTTATGGCCCTCGTAGTAATTCATACAGCTGGTCTTCCAGTAATGGAGACCGTAGGCCACCTTCAGCCTATCGGTATTGGACTGCAGAGTCGTGTCAACCCCCCTACTCTTCATCGCCACCCAGCTACACATTCTACTCGTCGTCCGATTCGTACCCGCCCGACTATTCTTACTCTTTTCGCCCTGGGGCTCCACCTAGAACCTCTTATGTACCACCACCGCCGCCATCGTCGTCTCAACGCCCAGTCACGCCACCTCCGCAAGGCATCAAACCCGCGACAGATCTTTATATCGTACTTGGTCTTAGCCGGAGCGCAACAGCTGCGGATATCAAGAAAGCACACCGTTCTATGAGTCTGAAGTGGCATCCTGATCGCTGTCGTGGACAAGATAAGAAGAAAGCTACTGAGAAGATGGCAGAGGTCAATCAGGCGAATGATGTGTTGTGTGATGAGGTTAAGAGGACGTTTTATGATAGATGGGGGGTATTGCCTAGTGAAGTGTAGGAATTTATGAAAGAGGTTTCATATTGTGTGAAATCGTTGATTGGTAACAGCAATGGTTTGTTGTCTTGAGAAGAAATTTACAAATCGCGGTCTACACCCTTGTCAACCCGGTGTTCTCAAGCATAGATGGACGAGAAACATAGCTACTCCTCCTCAAGGTATGAATCGACGCCGGGACAGGTGCTGACCTTCTTGTCCCGCACCTTCACCGTGGCTCTCAGTGCTTCTAACAGAGTTTCTCTTGAATATGTTTCCATGTCTTGCATCCAGCCATCTCCTATTTGCGAGTCATCATGCGCATGATGCGCAATGTCTGCAGCGATTAAGCGTCGTAGTGGGGATCCGGGAGGCGTGCCATCGTAGATAATTCTGATGCTCTCTGCTCCCATACACACGCTGAACTTGTCTTGAGCTGTGAACAAAGCCTTGAACAATGCGTTCTTGTACTTGACATCAATCATCCTCTCGCCAAATACATATGCTCGGGCAATCTGAACGAAGAACTCCTCCGCCTCTTCACACCTCTCTTCACGCGTGACTCCGTCTGCTATGTGTAGGCGAATCGGAATTTCTCCCTGGTAAAGCCATTTAATATAGTCGCTGACGATGGTCGCCGAGTCCTCGGGAAGATCGAGGGTCTTTGGGTCATCATTCCGATCGGTCCACTCTGGCTTCATAGCTCTTCGGAAGAACTCTGAGCTCTTGCAAAGAACACCGCGGTGAACTTGGAGACGCTCAGTATCCCCAGCGCAATTTGGGACGATCAGCTGGATGATGGCGTCTTTCGGACTAGATTGGTCAGCGACAGTAAGTAGATCTTCGGGCTGCAGGGTATAGTCACTCCATTCCGGCTGTTGGGTGAGGTTGAGTGAGGTTGGGAATTTGCCGTAAGTGAGGGAGCTGCTGCTATGGCGTCAATGATAAAGGTAGCAGCCTTGACAAAGGAAACTACTTTATGTGGGGCGCCGCCTGGGCTGCAGAGATTGTGGGAGACTGCTTGTTCCGAATTGGGCAATGGAGGCAGCAATGAATGAAGTGAATAGTGAAAAGTGCGAATTGATTTGAGACGCGTAGGATTACAATCGTGAGCGATACGAGTTCACTTCATTGCCTTCACTATAAACTTACCTAGGTAGCACTGAACACAGTAGCACACAGATAGCATCTGTCATCACTATTGGTATACTGCCAGGACACGCTGTAATCATGCTCAAGATTTATTGATCATTGCCAGCCAGATGGTATCTCCGAAGTGATCAGCTACCAGATCGCCTGCACAAGGCTTGACGACTTCTACTCCTGTAGCATCTGGCTGATGTGTAATCAGGTCGCTGTTTATCTGACACGGCACTGAAAAGCGCATTGAAATTGGACAAGTAACAAATGTACAGAGATTGTCGCTTACTGAGTCGCCAGAGACTCCGGTAAGCAAAGGTCAAACAGATAGTCCTTCCTTAACTTCGGGTTTGAAAGTACCTTCCACGCGACTTCGACTTCCTTACGCGCATTTTCATTGTTCCGTTCCTCATACATCCTACTACCATGTGCCTTATCAAGCTTATCTTCAGGATCTAGAGGGAAGACATTGAGAATTGTCCAGAGATACTTTGGCGGCTTTTCTCCAAGTACCCAACCTTCGGGAAGTTGGTACTCGGAGTTCGAGTGTGACTCCGTATCTTCGTTGCTGAAATCTTTGCCGTCGTAACGTTCTTCATAGGAAGTGCTGATCGAGTCCGGTGGCCGTCCATCTCGAGTTGTGTGACTTGGATAACGCTGTCGGCCTGAACTACGGGGTGGATCTTGCCGACTCAGATGCTTGTGGCTCTCTCCTGCCCCATAAGACGTCCGATGTCGATCCCTTGGCGCATGGTGGGAGTCTTTTTGAGACCAATCTGTGGAGGTGTGAGAAATCTCGGCTGTACGAAACGAGTCAAGAGCCTGAGGATCCGATTTGTATGCGCTGCTCTTGGACGATAAGATCGGTTCGCGAGCCGACACTCGTGAGATATGGGTGGTTGGATGGCGTGCTTCATCATACAAGCTTTCTTCACCATACGAATAGTTTCTTGCTTTGTGGAGATTCTGCTGAGAATTATCACCACGGAAACTTCGTGTTGGTCTTCCCGTTTCGTCAACGTAATCTCGATAGTAGTCAGCGTGCCAGTTGCGAACGTGCCCAGGTGGGGCGGAGGTGCTGCACTTGCTCATACTCACCGATCTCATCATGCGAGAAGCCATCACTGTGATGGATCTGAGGAGTCTTCCCCTGATATCCGTATGATGTCTGTCTACCAGAGCCTTGTCCTATAGATCTAGGAGTGTATATAATTTCTTGTTTGACGACTCTGTCCGCTTCTTTTTGTCTGCGCTTCTCTTCAGCGTATAAACTGCCTTTTCCCTTCGAAGCGGATGAACTTTGATGCAAGCCTCGTGAGTCATTAGCCCGTCTTTCGGTATGTGGATGGCCATCTCGTGCTTTGACTCGGTATGATAGCGTGCCTCCTCGAGAAGAAGAGGTTCGTTCCGAACTGACACAAGCCTCTGCGCAATCCTCCGCAAATGACTCGCTTTCTTTAGGAGTGTAGTATCCGGATACTTCGAATCGCTTGCGATAATCTTTGGTCAGCTCCTGTCGTCGCTTGTCCATGGCTGTTAGATAGTCAAGAAGATGAAGTTTCACTAAGTAACGCAGCATCCAGCACTCTTTATACTAGCATCGAGTGAGTCAAAATGAGTTACTAGCCCTTTTGTCACACTGATGAAGTCATATCGCTGAGTAACATCTAAGAGATGTGCAATCAGTGACCACATATCTCCATATCGGCGTGCGGAATGACATAAATTCGGTATATGTATGACGGCTGGTGAAAGGTGTGACTCCGATATCCTACTCATCATCAGAAGTGATATGAGAAGACCAGACAAAACAGAAAGCGATAAGTCTGAAAAGATCCGGAAATGTTTCATGGTGCTGGCCCTGAGGATCAGTAGCGTTCTCCGTGCATGTTGGACCGTTGGATCCCTGCGCCACCGCATGATGGTCTCATCTTCAGGCCCGACAACGATCACAATGAGTTGTGACCCCACGATTTGCGACATGGTGTTAACACAAATTTCATTGTTAAATAGCTAACATCTCCGAAAATCCGTCAGCCAATCTGACGAAGAACGGCCGACTCGAAGAAACAAGCCAGTCGGACCCCTTCAATATTGTGTTACTGCCGAAGCAGCCAAACATCGCGACATAGCCCTCAACGGACAGAATGACATCTCTCTTCAACTAGATCCAGAAGTCGAACCCCTTAGCCACGTCTTCTCTCGATAAGGACGGCTGCTTGTTTGCAGAACCAGCTTTTGCCAGCGAAGCGTCGGTCTGGCAAGCCGCATCAATGTAATGGGATTTCCGGCTTTTGTTTCCGCAATGCGAACATGGCCGAGAACCACTAGGAGTAATCGAATCTTCAAAATTGTAACCAAGACGACGGGATTATAAATAGAAGGCGACTGTTTGACCACCGTCTTCCGCTCTATCGTTGTGTGGTCTGACCCAGCGGATCGAACACTCAGCGCGTCTGGGGTAGATTTGATTGGCGAGACTTGGGGACGCGCACGCGACGGTGCGCTCGGTTTGTGATATTTGGGATGGCTTGCGTCACTCCGCGAACTACTCATGCCGTTTGCAATATTTGGTTGTGGGCGTGATGTTTGTACTGAGCCGAATGCAGCTGCATCACGCGCAGCCTTTTCTCTGCAGTCCTTGTACCATTTCCTGTGATTTTCCTGAATCTCTTCTCTCTTCCTTTCCTCTTCTTCTCTGTGAAAGTCTCTGGAAGCGCGATGGGCGTAGGTTTGTCTCGAATCGAAATTCTTGTGACTATCTTCACCTTGGTCACGCGACACATGTGAGGTGGAACTGGTCGAAGAGGCTTCGGTACGAGTTCGGATCGACGCACCCGGTTTGTTATCTTTGGGAGTATTCATGGCACGACGCGAACTACTCATGTCGTTTGGAATGATTGGTTTTGGATCTGGGGATTGTAATGAGGCGAGACGCGCTGCCTTGCATGCGGCATTTTCTTGTCGGAGCTTCTGTAAATTTATATGAGCGTCCAATTGCGCCATCATCTTCTTTCTCGTGCGTTTCTCACTTTGTTGGCCAGAACGACTGAGCCAACTTTCGATGTAGTCTTTCGTTAGACCGTGATCTTCGAGAGTGTCTTTCAACAGAGTCAGTAACGGGTCATAGATTATGAGGGCACAAATAGCTTACCGCGGTGACGCTCGCGGTGAACAGTGTGCCGATCTGTTTCGTGAGATACTCGAGCTTTCTCGTGGTGCTTTCTAGCCTCGTTGTTCGTGGTAACACTCTCTTGCGACAAGATGCGGTTATCTTGTTTGGGCCTCGAAGCTAGCTTTTCACGGACGCCCCCGGCTCTTCCATGGACGCTGCTCTTGTCGGATTCTGGTTCCCAACGATGAAGAGCGCCTGTCTCGGGGTCCTCCTCTTCAACGTAAGCTTGCTTGTCAGGTTTGCTTCTCTCGCGATCATGATGTGTAGCAGGGTCGTGCAAATGACGCCTTGCGCGTAATCGGTCGTTTTCTGAACTCGCTGCCAGCGCATCGTCAATAAAAGACCCTCCCGATGTCACCGCACCAGTCTCACCAGGTTGGCATAGTTTCAGTGCCTCCTTTCTCGAGAAGGCCACATCACGGTATCTTTCGTCAGACCGTGTACTGTAATTATTGGGTTCCTGATTCATGGCGCCTGGATTGGGGATGTAGTCGTGAGGGTGGAGATGTTCAGGAATAGTTTTCAATTCGAAGAGGTTTTATATCACGTCCTCATGAGTCCACCACGGTGATCGAGTGACTGGCCCGAGTAGGAAAGCTCATGGTCGTTGACGGCGTCTGGCAAAGACGTGTGAGAGAAGCCGCGTCAAAGTTGTGTACATGTTGAGTCTTCGTTTGACGCATATTGGTGTATGACAATACGCAAACGGTATGACTCCGATGTTCTACTTCCCGTCAGACATCGGCTGAGAAGGCTGAATCGGGGTGAGATAAGAGCTACTGTTGAAGATGCGTGCAAACCCTGGCCCATGAGATTGCGGCGTTTTCAGGCGCATGAAATGCCTGATCCTTTGCGCCACCGCCAGATGCCCTCACCTCTGGGGCCAACAACGATCGCATTGAGCTTGGACTCCCGAGTTTAAATCGATCGCAGCGGTGACGAAAGCTCGACTTGACATGCCACGTATTTTGCGCTTGAAAATTCACCTAAATGGGAAAGCGCAGCGCAAATTAGATCCGCGGAGTAGCTTACCATAGACCGTGTAATCAGTGGATCCTTGGACGCGACCGTTTTGGGTGAAGACTTAATGCTTGTGGTGTTCGGATGTCATCGTGCGTTGAAACTTGTTGAAGTAGTGGTCCAAGACATGCGCAAAGGGCAGCCCCTTGCTGCAACCCTTTGTCCTCGCATACGCCCCTGCCCTCAGTTTCGGCCAAGATTTAGGAGTGCAGATTGGTCCAGAGTCGATTGCGCTGCAGGAAGAGAAACATTGCCGAGCTGCACCAATTGTAAATTTAGCAGCCGGCAGTCGCTTCTGTCCATATCTAGTGGGTTGTTGCCCACGATTATGTTTACCAGCGCCCTCAACGAGTTTCAAACACCTCAAGAGAACTGCGAATTCAGTTTATCCTCTCACGACGAGTAAAGACACCGTCAGTACTGTATGACAACTGGAAAGAGACGGGAGAAAGATACCCATGACGTCCAGATCTTCAAAATGGCTCAGCGGCTGTCGATGGATTGCATAACGACCTTGGGGGGCGAGAGGGAAGAC